TAGCATGATTGGTCATATCTGGCAGATGTGGAATGAAACCTCTTTTGGAATTTACACTATCACTTCCTGTCACATACTAGATGTATGATTGTGGTCAAATTACTAGCTTATCTGAACCAGTTTTCCTCATTTTTAAAATGTCATTTTTCTGCTTTGACGATGTTAGAAGGGCTGCTGTTAAGATTCAGAAGTAGCTACTAACACCATATGCTAATATAAAATATTAGGCTTGGCTATATTTGTAGACTAACTTCTTACAAGGATAAAGCAAGGGGTGAGGTTGGCCCAAACAATGTATACACTATGTAAGTAAATATAAAAACAATAAAAGAAAAAAATAAAAGAATAAAGCAATCTAAGATGTTGCAAAAAGTACTACGTATGAGTGTGTTTGAACACCTTTTTACACTGAGATTTTGGGTAATCTGATAAAAGTCATTCCAACTACTTATTACAATGGTATGTTAGTAGACAGTATAATAATAGCATTACTGGAATTAATAGGCAACTGTTTTGTTCTCCCTGTTTATTATGGTGGTTACCAGAGTTTTGGGCTAGCCCTGCTCATTTGGTTGATCACTTTTCTAATCAGCTACTGGGCAAAAACTTCTGGAAAAAAGTTGGCATTAGAAAGATTTTTAGGAAAAAAAAGTACTTTTAGAGGTGGCTAATTACTTTTTTGGTATAATTAGGAATAAGGTTAAGAATAGAGTAGTGCTCAAGATGTACCAGTGGAGGGCTTGCCTAGCATGCAAGTTGGCCTTGGGTTCAACCCTTAACACCATAAGAAAAAAAAGTAGATCAAATTCAGGGGTCTGTTTCCTAAACATCTTGGGGCAGTTGTAATAGTTTCTAGCATGTTTCACTTTTAGCTTTAAGCAATAGAATTAGTGTTTATTTAGATAAAAGCACATAGAATTCTTCAGCTGGCTGTTTTCTGTTTGTTAGAATTTTTCGGTGGACATGAATGTTTTTAAACTTCTGGATTCATGTTGCTAGAAAAGTAGAAAAGTTATCCTAGTTCATAATCTCAAATGCAGTATATGAATAGTTCCACCATGTTGAAGAATCAGTATATGCTCTTTTTTCTTTTTGGCAGTGGGATTTGAACTCAGGGTCTCATGTTTGTTTGTTTGTTTATTTATTTGTTTACTGGGGCTTGAGCTACTCCACCAGCCCTTTTTGTGTTAGGTATTTACGAGATAGGTTCTTGCGAATTTATTTCCCCAGGCTCGCTTCAAACCGTGATCCTCCTGATCTCTGCTTCCTGAGTAGCTAGAATTACAGGCATGAGCCACCAGTGCCTGGCTCTATCTCATAATTTTAAAAAATTAAAAAAATTTTTAATGCACATAGTCTTTTGTTGCAAATTTGATATTTTTATTGTATGTATCTTTAGGAAGTCATTCAGAGGTCAAATTTTCACTGAAATTATCTTCTTGTGCGGGGATATAGTTCAGTGGTTGGTAGAGTCCTTGTTTGCATAAGACCCTGAGTGCCTTTTTTTTTTTTTTTTGCTTTTTTGGTGGAACTGAGATTTAAACTCAGGGCTTCCTGCTTATAAAATAGGTGCTCTACTGCTTGAACTACTCCTCCAGCCCTGAGGCCCTGGGTTTGATCCTCAGCACTGCAAAAGAAAAACAAATGTCTGGAATTACTGATTTTTTTTCTTAATTGCTAGCAGATTTTGTGATAATTTATTAAAATATATCAGTCCTTTCCCATTTATTTGTGATTTAGGTTTTATATTCTAGAAAGAAAAGTTTTTTGTTTTGGTGGTACTGGGGTTTGAATTCAAGGCCTACATCTTGAACCACTCCACAAAACCCTTTTTTTTGTGCTTTTTTGTGATGGGCATTTTCAAGATAGGGTCTCACGTATTATTTGCCTGGTCTGGCTTCAAACTTCAATCCTCCTGATCTCTGCCTTGTGAGTAGCTATTATAGGCGTGGGTCACTGTGCCCTGCAAAAGATTGGCTTATTTACTGTGTTATAATCTCTTACTCTTCTTCTCACTCTACCTTCTTTTCTGGCCTCAAACTTCAGTCCTCCTGCTTTATTTACCCTTTCAAGTAGCTGAGATTACAAGCGAGCACCACCATGCACCCACCACAGTCCAGCCTGGGAGGAGTTACTCTTTAAAAAGAAAGGAAAGGGCTGGGCGCCAGTGGCTCAAGCCTGTAATCCTAGCTACTCAGGAAGCAAAGATCAGGAGGATCATGGTTCTAAGCCAGCCTGGGCAAATAGTTTGTGAGACCCTATTTCGAAAAACCCTTCACAAAGAGCTGTTGGCATGGCTCAAGGTGAAGGCCCTGAGTTCAAGCCCCCATACTACAAAAAAAAAAAAATGGAAAGGGGACTGGAGGTGTGGCTCAAGTGGTAGAGCCCCAGTCCCACCAAAAAAAAAAGAAAAAACTTTCAAGTCATTCATGCAGTTGCAGTTTATATCTTGTTCTTCTGCTGTCTGAGCAGTAGAGGTCAGAGATTCCAGGTCATGCCCACTGACTCAGATCAGAATTAGAAGTCTCTTGGTAGAACTACAGGAAGGGTGATTCCAAAGAGGTTCTGGAAATCAGTGGATTATTATGGAATCACATTCCTCACTTTTAGAAGTAAAATGCCAGTAGTAACCTCTTTCTTTTTATCAGTTACAAGGACTTTCTTGGGATCACCTAGAACTAGTGTTCTAATTTACTGACTTCACTTATTTACTTAGCTCATTCCAGAGTTTCCTGCTGTGCTATATAAACTCCTTATATACATAGTTCTTTCCAACCTATTTTTCTTTGATACCATGTTTTCAAGTTTAATTATATAGGATTTATAACATATATATAATATGTATTTGCCTGGGTTGGTCTTGAACCACAGTCTTCCTGATCTCTGCCTTCTGAGTAGCTAGGATTATCGGTGCCCAGCTCTCTCATCCATTTTTAACTGAATACATATTTTGGAATAAATTTAGATTTACAGAAAAGTTGCATAGATAAAACAAAGTTTCTATGTACTCCTCACCCATTATCCTCTAGTATTAATAGCTTATATTCATTACCATTACTTTTGTCAAAACTAAGAAGCCAGAAAAGAAAAAAAACAAAACACTTTCTTCCCTGAATCTTTAATAGCTTGGAAGACAATTTTCTTTTACTTTGGGTGAGACCTCAACCCCTTATTACAGCAACAAAAATCTCCAAAAAAAGGGCTGAATTGTTAAGAGAACCGCCCCCTCCCCAAAAAAAGAAAACCTAAGGTTTACTATTACCCTTCATTTTCTTCAGCGTGACCCTGAAGAAATTGGCATATTTTTGTGTAGTGAAAACATTAAAATGAAGCCTGCCTTCTCTCCCTCTCTCCCGCCTTCCACTAAGCTACTCTCTCAATTCAATTTCCTATTATTAGTGGATGTTATTTTCAGTTGCTGTCTTGGATATTTGATCTATTTCTCTGTGGTTTGCACAGTCTTAGAAGATAGATAAATCATTTCAATAGAAAAATATGTGAAAATTGGCCCTTATTAACATGGCTTTGGAGTCACCTCAGTTGAAGAGAAGCAAATCTATAAAAAGTTCTCAATCTTAATATGATTTAACAGTGGGTTAAAAGCCAATCCAGAGTCCTCATAAAATCATTAAGAAAAAGAGTTTGAAAAAATAAGAAATAAAATTGCCAATAAACTTGAAAAGATGCTCATTAATATTAGGAAATAAAAAATACATTTTGGGGGCCTGACATCCTGGCAAAAAGTTCTTTTAATTTGATTATATGTCTATACGATTTAATAGTATTACCATATAACTGGTAATATGTATTACATGCTATTGGTAAAATTAGGTAAAGCCAGGGCTGGGGATACAGCTTAGTAGAACACTTGCCTAGCATGCAGGAGGCCTTGGGTTCCATCCTAGCACTGGAAAAAAAAAAAAAAGAAAATTGGTAAAGTCTTAATTTACATGTCTTCAGACCTAGAGATTTCAGTTTTTAATACTCTGTCCTACAAAAATATGGGCACAATGAAGGTTGCAATACTTTGTCTATGATAAAGGAAGGATAAAATTGTTCATGTTTCAGGATATTTTATAGCCATTAAAAAGAATGAAGTAGAATTTTATATATTGAAATGTCTCTAAAACTGGCTGGGCACCAGTGGCTCACACCTGTAATCCTAGCTACTCAGGAGGCAGGGATCAGGAGGATCTCAGTTCAGAGCCAGCTGGGCAAATAGTTCATGAGACCCTATCTTGAAAAAAAAAAAAAAAAAAACACATCACACACACACACAAAAAAAGGCTGGTGAAGTGGCTTAAGGTATTGGCCCTGAGTTCAATGCCTCAGTACTGAAAAAAAGAAAGAGAAAGAAAGACATCTCCAAGACTAATTTTTTTGTTAAAACAGGTTGGAGAATATGTATAATATCTCAAAACCCACCAAAATGATGAGTGTGTATTTATGTATATATTTTTTGTAGGAATGAAAATGCGTATAAAAAGACCTGGAAGCATGCATATGCTGTAACTGTGGCATCTGTGTAGGAAAGGGAGATGAATTAGGAGATAAGAGTGGAAAGCTTGATAGTCTTTTCCATTTTTTCTTTATGTGCTTCTGGAGAGCCACTAAAATCAATTGATCTGATGGAAATATGTAAAGCTCACAACTTTGTTGTTAACTGTTTGCTGCAAAGAGTATTTGGTCTTGGACTGGAGGTGTGGCTCAAGCTGTAGAGCCCCTGCCTAGCAAGTGAATCCTGGAGTTGAAGCCTCAGCCAAAGGGAAAAAAGTTTAAAAAAATAAAGCCCAGTATTTGGCATAGTTATAAACCACTTTTTTTTGGTGGGGGGAGGGACAGACTGAAGTTTGAACTCAGGGCTTTGAGCTTGCAAAGCAGGCGCTGTACCTCTTAAGCCACACTCCTGGCCTTTTTTTCTGTGGTTATTTTTGAGCTAGTGTCCTGCTTTTTTTTTTCCCCTCTCCCCACCCCCCCCCACGCCTCCCCGCCAGGTGACCTTGCGATCCTCCTGATCTCAGCCTCCCAAGTAGCTAGGGTTATAGGTGCCTGGCTATCCAGCAGCTTCTGGATGTCTCTGGAGACCAAGGGATTTAAATGTTGCATGAGACTGGTTATTTTTACTCTAGAGCTTAGCTGCTGTTGTGTACTGACACTTGTTCTTGGGTCCTAACCAATTATGTCCATTCTATTTTTTTCCTTTTTTATTTTTCAGATGATTTTAAAATGGAAACTCTTTAACTGAAAGCTGAGTGGTACTTAAAGCAGCTCTCAAGTTTACATGATGAAAGTTCCACAGAAGCATAGCACTGTTGAGGAATGTCCTTTTTATAAATGTATTTTCTCATTTACTGGAGGCCAGTGAAGACAAGCATAATTTAAAATCCTTGGTTGGTTTACATGTTACTGGCATATATAGACACAGAAAATAAATACTGTCAAGAATTCCGTAAATATTTATTCAGTGAGTGCTGTTTCTAAACGACTGAAGGAGGTGTTGAACAGTGATGAACTCAGGGCCTCATGTTTGCTAGGCAGATGCTCTTCCCACTTGAGCCACTTGCCAGCTTTTCTTTTCATGATGGGTGTTTTCGAGATATGGTCTCGTGAACTACTTTCAGGGAGCCGTCTTCCAACCATGATCCTCCTGATCTCTGCTTCTTGGGAGCTAGGATTCCAGGTGTGAGCCACTGATGCCCAGTGTTATATGTGTGAGTTCTTTCTAAAAAGTTAAATCACTCATGCATCCACAATTTGTTTTGGTGTAGGAGTGAGAAGAGTGAAGGAGCCATCCCTCCTGACAACATTTATGGAATAACTTGTGTTCTCAGTGATTTGATACGTTGTCATCAAAACCGACATATTTCTATAACAGACACCATTGTATCACTGACTTATTAAAAAGTGTGTTTTAAAGAGGTTCTCTATATGTACTCTGGCTTCCCTCCCATCAGTGACACCAACGTGATCTTCCCCAAATATACCAATATAAAATCCTATATGGGCCAGGTGCCAGTGGCTTACACCTGTAACCCTAGCTACTTAGGAGGCAGAGATCAGGAGGATCTCGGTTTGAAGCCAGCCAGGGCAAATAGTTTGAGAGACCCTATCTTGAAAAAACCCAACATGGAAAAGGGTTAGTGAAGTGGCTCAAGGTGTAGGCTCTTGAGTTCAAACCCCAGTACCCCACCAAAAAAAAAAAAATCCTATATAGGTTTTTACCTGGTTCTTTTGGTCAAGACCTAATCCTAAACATGGGGAGTTGAAAGACCCTGTGTGGTCTGACTCCTTTTTTTTTTTTTTTATTGTTTTATTATTCATATGTGCATACAATGCTTGGGTCATTTCTCCCCCCTGCCCCCACCCCCTCCCTTACCACCCCTTCTGTCCCCTCCTCCCCCCCACCCCCTCAATACCTGGCAGAAACTATTTTGCTCTTATCTCTAATTTTGTTGAAGAGGGAGTATAAGCAATAACAGGAAGGAACAAGGGTTTTTGCTAGTTGAGATAAGGATAGCTATATAGGGAGTTGACTCGCATTGATTTTCTGTACATGTGTGTTACCTTCTAAGTTAAGTCTTCTGGAACTAACCTTTTCTCTAGTTCCTGGTCCCCTTCTCCTGTTGGCCTCAGTTGCTTTTAAGGTATCTGCTTTAGTTTCTCTGCGTTGAGGGCAACAAATGCTAGCTAATTTTTTAGGTGTCTTACCTATCCTCACCCCTCCCTTGTGTGCTCTCGCTTTTATCATGTGCTCATAGTCCAATTCCCTTGTTGTGTTTGCCCTTGATCTAATGTCCGCATATGAGGGAGAACATACGATCTGACTCCTTCTGACCTTCCCTGCATTTTGACCTAAACTCTTCCAGGCAGTAAAATGGGTCACCTCAGTTGTTTTCGTGTCTCTCAGAGATCTTTCTTCTTCATTGCCTGATGTCAGTGTCTTAAAAACCACAGTTTTGTGTATTCTGTTTACTTTGTAAAATCTGGTTGCCAGTACCCCATTTTGGCCTCTCATTTGCCTTTGTTTTGCAGAATGCACCTAGGTATTTCCTAGCTGTTGACACTAATTTCACTCCATAAACCTTGGAATCACTTCAATCACTTCAGATACCTCAATTTTCCTTTTCTTTTTTTCTTTCTTTTTTTTTTTTTTAAGGCAAATTCTCACCTTGTACCCAGACTGGTCTGGACCATACAATCTTTTTACCTTAGCCTCCCCAATACACCTGCCCAAACTTTTTTTTTTTTTGATGCTGGAGTTTGAACTCAAGGCCCCATGCTTGCTAGGTAGGCACTTTACCACTTGAGCCACTCCACCAGCCCCAAAAGCTACTTTCTTTTTTCAATGGGACTATGGTTTGAACTCATGGCTTCTCACTTTCAATGTAGGTGTTCTATCACGTGAGCCATGCCTCTAGTCCATTTTACTCTGGTTATTTTGAAGATGGGGAGTCTCAAATTATTTGCCCAGGCTGGCCTTGAACCATGATCCTCCTGATCTCAGCCTCCCATGTAGCAAGGATTATAGGAATGAGCTACCAGCACCCAGCTCAAACTACTTTCTTGATGGAGAAAAGGTTACTTTACAATTTGATTACAGGAACCAATAGAGATAAAGAATTAGGTAATTAAGCAGAATAGGCTGCACCATCATAGGCAGGGCCAGTTAAGAGCTTCTGACGACATTTACTTTTAAAGGAACTTGGAATAGCCAGTCACTTGTATGTATTCATAATTCATATGATAAGTTCATAGGTGTAGTCATTAATAATATGAACTGTAGAAAGCTTAAGAAAACAATTATGAATCTATACAACATGAATTTTTTATAGATCTAGAAAAAGTAACTGAATAGTATTCTTATACTATCTTTTCCTTCCTCCTAGATTTAAACAGTCACGTAAGATCAAGCTGGGTAATCATGGCAGAAGGCGGATTCGACCCCTGTGAATGTGTGTGCTCTCATGAACATGCGATGAGAAGGCTGATCAATCTGGTGAGATAAGCAGGATAGCGCTATTCAGTTCTGATCTGTGCTCCCATCTGTCCTGTTGTTGTGAGAATTTCAATGGATAGCCACTATAAAGTATTTCATAATTAAAATTCTACCGTGGATTAACACATAATGATTAAAATGTTTGCCAGCAGTTCTTTTGCTAGAGACTGACTTTATTCATGTAGATTTCAATGAAAATTCAATTAATTTTGCCACTGTGGGTAGATAATATATTTGTATATTCTATTTTCTATTCTATATTAATATAAATACTTTTTATTTATGTGGGTTTGTTTGCCTTGTAAGCTGCTATGAAGTCACCGTTCCCTGTTATGATATGGTTTAATCCTTCTCCAACATACAACATGACAGTAAAAATATATATATAAAATATTTGCAAATCTAAATAAATTGACAGATTTCTGAACAGCAGGTTTAGGTAGTCTCATTGAATCAATTGTAGGGGAATTTGAATTAAAGGATTTTTAAACTTTCTTAGTTTGCATGTTTAAATATGAGGCTGTTTATCCCATACTGTTTACTTCTTAGTACAAAAGGAGAAATTTAACCATTATTAGTAACGAAGTGTGGGTGTGGGTGTGGGTGTGGGTGGTGCTGGGGATTAAACCCAAGCCCTCATGCATGCTAAGTATACATTCTGCCACTGAACCTCACCCCTCAGCTCCTCAAATCTAAATTTAACTAAGTGTAAGACACAATTTTTTTCAAAACACTCTATTAGGAACAAATAGTCTTTTTTTGTGGTGTTAGAGTTTGAACTCAGAGCCTTCACCTTGAGCCACTCTACCAGTCCTTTTCTGGATGGGTTTTTTTGAGATAGCATCTCATGAACTATTTGTCCAGGCTGGCTTTGAACTGCGGTCTTTATGATCTCTCCTGAGTAGCTAGGATAAGGTGTGAGCCAGCGGTGCCCATCTCAAAATATGGTCTTACAGTTTGACAGTGGTATGTGTTTCTGGTGGAGCAGGTATTGTCTGTTTTTTGGTGGTACTGAGTTTGATTTCAAGACTTTATGCTTGCAAAGCAGGTGCTTTACTGCTTGAGCCAAACCTCCAGTCCATTTTGGTCGGGTTATTTTGGAGACGGTGTCTTGAGAACTATTCACCCAGGCTGGTCTTGTACCGTGATCCTGCAGCTCTCAAGCCTCCCAAGTAGCTAGGATTACAAATGTAAGCCACTGGTGCCCAGCTGAGCAGTTTTTAATTTGGGTTAATATCTCTTTTTTTATTATTTATTTTGATTTAGTATCATATATTTTTCTACTAGTCTGTTTCATTTTAGATATAGTTACAAAGCTGGGACTAGGATAGCTCAGTGGTAGAGTGCTTGCCTAGCTTGCATGAGGCTCTGGATCTGATCCTAGGCACCAACCCCCACAAAAAAAGAAAAAGAAGAAATTGGAATTCAGGGCCTTGCATATGCTAAGCAAGCACTCTACCTCTGAGGTACACACCCAGCCTAGCCCCACTTTTCTATTTTTTACGATCTATGTATTTCTTTTTTTTTGTTTGTAGTGCTAGGCCTGAACTCAGATCTCACACTTGCTAGACTTTGTTAGGCAAAGTCTAGCTGTATCACTTGAGCCACTCTTCCAGCCCGACGATCTATGTATTTCTAGTCTCTACTTTTGTAGAATGTCAGCAAAACCTTGTTTAACTGTATGGGCGTATGTGAGCACAGCAATTTGTGCTAACCATGCTTAAACGGACATCGTTTATGGCAGTCATGGTTTGAAGCACTCTGAAATTATGTGAAAATAAATTTGAGATTTTTACAAACCCTTTAAAAGTTCATATTTTTAAGACTGTGCTGGATATTTTTACATAATATAAATTAGTGATGGGTGTTCCTCTCCTATAACTAACATGCTGGTAGTACTCTCAAAGATTCCAGAAGAAAGAAGGAAAGGGGGGGGGCTTCAAAAATTGTATCTGAAGGACCTTTGTGTAGGAATTTACTAGAGTGTGAACTGTGTTTCACAAAAATGAGGGCATAAACTAAGAAAAAAGAAAGAAAATTAGGAGATACAGAACCTGGAGAGAGGTGAAGTACCTCTCAGAATAATGGTAAAGGGAGATCCCAAGGTGGTGGCTGTGCCCCTAAACTTTTGAGCACCTATCTTAGTTAGGAGGGGTGGTCATGTAGCTCTGAGAAAGACTTTTTCAGAAAGATGAAGTGATGGAGTGATGGAGATACCTGATGATCTGGATAACTGAAACAAGTCACAAAAAATCATAGAAAACCAAACATATATATATGATATATAAAATATATTTATATAAATCTATATGTATACATATATGTAAGATACATTTATACATATGTTTTTGGTGGTACTGGAATTTGTAGTCAGGACTTCATGCTTGTTAGGCAGGTGTTTTACCACTTGAGCCACTCTGCCAGCCCTTTTTGTGTTGTGTTTTTCAAGATAGAGTCTCAAGAACTATTTGCGTGACTTGGCCTTGAACTGTGATCCTCTGGATCCCTGCCTCCTGAGTACCTAGGCTTAGGAGCATGAGCCACTAATGCCCGGCTATAGAAGAATACTACTAACTATAAAGAAACACAGAAAATAGTGCAGAAAAGAAAAAATAATTACAATGCACGTTTAACTGTGAAGGTCATCTATGTAATCATAATGTGCAAAATGAGTATTTAGCTAACCTACTTTATAACTCTCATTAGCACGTAGAAGATGGTAACACGCACTGTGGGTCAGGGAAAGAGAACGAGATCTTCATATTCCCTACAGGTGCATGTGTAGATACTGCTTAAAACTCAAAAACCAAGAAGTAGCAATAGTGCATATTGATACACAAAAGGCATGGGAGTAAGTACTAAAATAACCAGCTGGAAGTAGAAAGTGCTTCTCCACGGAAGGGAAAATGGTAGGGAGGGATGAGGAGTCTACTTTTCAGAACAAACCTTGTAGAACTGTTTGACTCTAAATTGTGTACCTGAATAACCAATAAAAATTAGAGCTAGCAACCAAAACGAAAGCAAAACTTCCAAGTTCAGTAAGTACAAAGAAGTTGAAGTGATTGTGCATCTTTTCCTCTCTGTGGAATATGAAGTGACTGGTTTAAGGCCTTTGTTACTATCAGGTGGAATGTGATGCAAGGAGAGGGCTCTTAGTTGGATGTTCATGACTAAGAGGGAAGCTACAGTAACCCCGCACCTCTGAAGTAGCTAAAAAAGCAGGAAGAAAAAGAAAGAATGCCTGGCTCAGGAGTGATGTGCTCAAAAGCCTTAGAATGAGGCTTCCCTACTTAAAATTTGAGTGGTACTCCAGCTTGCCTGTGTGCCTCTCTGATGAGGGAAGTCATCTGTATACCCTGAGTGTTCGCTCCTAGTCCTTCATTGATAAATATGAACAGAAAAACATGCAATGCAGTTGAAGAAAATAAGGCCACAGTATACTCAAACACATTTGAAATGATTTCAAAAGAAATAATCTACAACTTTTAGCTTTTCAACAGTTTTACTGAAGCTTATTACCTTCTTTGATTGCTAAATTGATAGGATTGTTCTTAGTAGAATGTAAAAAACAAAAGTTTGTAAAAAATAGAAAGGCCTTGAGTCAAACCCCAGGACTGCCAAAAAAAGAAAAGAAAGAATAGAAAGAAAGACTTTGTAGACACAAACCAGATTCAGACTCCTCTTTATTACTGACTCATCACTGCTTATGTAAGTTTTAGTACAAAGGATACAAATTTGTTTTTAATTTATTTTATTTACCTGCAATATGGAATGTAAAACAAACAACTATCTGACTGTGATGAATATTTTAAAGTGTGCATTATAAACTAATAGGGTTTTAAGTTCAAAGCTGATGGCTGCAGGACAAAGAATGTCCATTTTGGGGTGCTCATGACAAAGCTTTACTCACTCTCTTGGTATATTTCTTTCCTTTGTTGTAATTATATATCATTGGATTGCATGAGTATTTGATTCTTCTTCTTTTTTTTTTTTTTCCGGTACTGGGGCTTGAACTCAGGACCATCACCTTGAGCCACTCCACCAGCCCTATTTTTGTAAAGAGTTTTTCGAGATAGGGTTTCATGGAACTGTTTGCCTGGACTGGCTTCAAACTGCGATCCTCCTGATCTCTGCCTCTTGAGTAGCTAGGATTACAGATGTGAGCCACCAGCGCCTGGCTTGATTATTTTTAATGCATTTGTATTTTGCCACATGCACTTAGAATGCTTCTGTTTCAGGGATGATTAGAAACACTAAAAAAAATGGAGATGCTATCTCAAATCATGGACATTTTTCTTTCCTAGTGTAATACTTTAAGGTTTTTTTTTTTGACTGGGACTGGCATTTGAACTCAGGGCTTTGACTTTGCAAAGCAAGTACTTTATCACTTAAGCCATTCCTGCAGTCCATTTTGCTCTGATTATTATTATTATTTTGGTGGTACTGGGGTTTGAACTCAGAGTTTCAGTCTACCATTCAAGTTACCTTTCTAGCCCTTTTTTGTATTGTGTATTTTCAAGATGGGGTCTAACAAACTGTTTCCCCTGATGGCTTGGAACCTTGATCCTTCTGGTCTCTGCCTTCTGAGTAGCCAGGATTAAAGATGTGAGCCACCTGCACTCACTTAAGATTTTTAATACTAGTTAAATATTGTTGAAAAGGACTCAAAGAAGTAGATAAGAATAGATATACAGTGAGTCCCCCTTTCAATTCAGAGTGGGGGCATGGCTCAAGAGGTAGAGTGCTCGCTTAGCCTGCATGAGGCCCTGGGTTCAATCCCCAGTACTGCCAAAAAAACCCTAGCATCAGATTTATCATGTTCGATGTGTATTTAATGTAGGAATATGGTCAATGTTAAATATGGAATTTTAGTGATAACAGTATAACACTATTACATAGGTCAAAAGGTGCTATACCAAACCTCAGTCTAATTATAAGTCATTTTTCTTTCTGTACTAGCGATTAAACTCAAGGACACCATGTGAGCAACACAACATAGC